TTTCACTTTCCACGTCTGCTCAGCTGTGTGTAACTCAGCCACATTGCCACATGCGTGGCAGCCCCAAGTACATGTAGACTTAAGAGTGAGCTCAGGATTTGCGTGAGTGAGAAGGAAGGAAAGCACTTCATCTCAGGGTGATTTACTACATGATGGAGCTCTACTAAGAAATATGTTGCCCCGCTTCCAACAACTGACAACTGGGAAAACCAATCTGAGCTCTCTTTTCCACAGAACAGATCTGTTGTCCTTCCAGGCTGTCACCTAGAAGGGGATGCTGGGCCTTCTACAGCTGATATTCCCTAAAGTTCACACTGGTCATTTGTAGATACCTTGACTTTCTCCTCATTTTCTGGGCTAGCTCCTTTCATGGAACATGTAAGTACAGATCACTGAGGCATGCCCCAGAGGTGACTTTGCCAGTCATGAGCATTTTAAAAAATACATACAGTATTGGAAAATTAGTTTGACGAACACTTACTCTGAGTATCTGTGCATATTGGGCATTGTGCTGGGCATGGGGATAGAAAGGTGGTTGAAGTTGACTTTTCGCCTAGTGAAAGAGTTCCAGCATGAGGTTCACCTGTGCAGTGATTAAGGTGTGCAGTGAGCCTTCCTTCGAGTTCCCTCAAGAGGAATGAGCCTTGAGCATGACTTGACCCAGCTGAGGCGAAGAACCCAGGATGATCGGAAAGACAGGAAGGACGAGACAGGGCAGCGAGGCGTGGCTGGCAGGGCACGTGCAGGATGGTCCAGAGCACATGCAGGATGGTCCAGAGCACAGTGGGAAGAGGGAGGGAGAAAATGTGATGAGGCATGCGGGAGCCAGGAACTCATTGACCTTTTATGCCGTATTGACAAGTGGGAGCTTGGTCATCAGGTTAGCATTTTAGAAAGATGATTGGAGAGGGCAGATGTTGGCACTAGACCAGGCAGGAGGGGTCCTCTGGTCAGAGCTCTACTCTCTGGCAGCCCTGGAGCTCCCAGGGTCGCTGCCATGCCTGTTGGTAGGCCCTCTACTGTCGAGCCCCACTTTTGGTATCACCCCGCTCCCCCCCACCCCCAAGCTATAGCTTAAAGTCATCGGTGTATAACTGCAATCATTTGTATGTTCTTTCTCTTAATCCATGCAACTATAAAAGTAGGTATTTTTAAACCCCCATTTTAGACTTTTTAAAAATTGAAGTTCAGACTGTTAAGTATCTTGCCAAAGGATTAAACTGTGGCTTGACTGGTATACTGCTCTCACATGCTGAGAATGTGCCAATCCAATTCTAGAGGCTGCCTTTCTTGGGGTGAAAGGTTTAAGTTCATGTGCACAACACACAGGGCCAAACAGCACTCTGCTTTCAGGGGACCTGTGTGGGAGAAGCTGTGCTGTGCAGGAGATTGAGTTTGGTAAGGAAAAAAATCACATTGGGTTTCCTTTAAATAGTCTCATTTCTGTGTGTGTAAAGTGGAGTGAGATGCCATAAATGTAATAACTAAGTTAATGTTTGTTGGCGGGGAAGTGCTCCAACTTGCAATAAGTTGCCTGGGAGGCCTAGCCTGCTGCCAGGCGAACCCAGACTCCGTCCTTACTGTAGAGGAGGCAGAAGCAGGGTGGGCTGGCTCTGCATGGCCTTGAGCTGGAGGAATCCCTACAGAACACCAGAGAAGCAGACATCATCCAATTCCCATTCCTGACCAGCCACCTTCCATCCCACCCTGGACAGTTTCAGGAAACTCTGGGGTAGCAGGGTTCCCCTGCCTGCTCCCGTGGCCTCACCCACCACTCCTGGGTATTTGCATCCTCAAGCTGCCCATCTTCCTGGACCACCTCCACCCTGCCCCGCACCATGACAGTGAAGTACACCTCTGAGTCCCAGGCTCTGAGCTCAGTCCCTGACACACAGGAGGGGGTGAGTGCACTCAAAGCACAAACAGAAGGCAGGGGGAATGGTGATGAGAAAAAAATTGCCAAGGTTCTGAAGTTCCTAAGAGCTTTATGAGCTTCTTGAGAGTAGGACATGACTCTTTTAAAATAAAATTACCCCTTAGAGTGCTTTGCACCAAGCCTGACCTTTCACATATATAAGAACAGATAATTCTTAGATATTCTTGACACTGTCTTCTCAGATGTATACAGTATTTGCCCTTGACCAGGCTGATTTGGCCTCCATTTTGGCTCTTGAAAGGATCACTGCATAAGTCTACTATAGGTCCCCACAGGTGTATGCTTTGTGTCTGTGAACACACCAGCCAGCAGATAATAGGAGAGTGACCCTCCTTAATGAGACACCTAGCCTTTGGTCTGTGCCTTAAGGAGATAGCAGGTCCTCCCAGAGAACGTTCAAAGGGCCTCCAAGAAGAAGAAATGTGACATCTAGAATTCAGGAAGGTGGGGCTTTAAACGGAACATATCTTCAGACAGACAGGAGAGTGAATCCAGTCCAGCAGTTGGTGTGGTAAATGCCTAGCCTTGCTTCATACTGTGAGGTCCAAAAGAAATGTTACAACTCCTGCCTACTAGGCCTTTGCAGCCTGTTTGAGAGGAAGAAGTATATACATGGAAAGGTCAGCACGAATGCAAAGCAGTGTACACTTAATGCCAGAAATAGAGAAAAACTCCAGGGGTTGAGAGAAAAAAGAAATTGCTCCTGATCAAGCAGGGAATGGGTGTCAGCCGTGCTAGTTAGGGACAGTGAGTTTTCTAGTTTAGCAGAGGAGAGTTTATGGAAACAATGGGAGACAAGCAGAAATGGTTGATTATTGTAATGATTATACTAATAATATGTATAAGCAGCAGGCCTGGCTAACACCCAAGGAGTCCCTACACTATGCCAAGATTAGGTTCCCCGCCCCTTCTATGAACATCAATATGACGTTCATTGCAGTTTTTCAGTGTAAAAAATCTGAAGATAAAATTACCCAAAATCTTACCATCCTGAGATAACAAATGTTAACATTTTGTACATTTCCTTCCATGTTTTTTAGTGTTAAATGCCAGGTCTGTAGGCATGAACAACCTAAGTGGAATTGCTCCATGAAAAACCCACTGTTTGTTGCATGGTTGGCTCTAAATATGTTGATTTTTAAATGAGATGAACTCAGCTCACTCGTGTCGAAAGATTCTCTCCTTAATATTTGAGAGCAGAGCAGACACATGGACCACTGGGTACACTCAAGGAAGTGAGTACAATTTGTGGGTTAACATAGCCCAGGCTGAATGCACAGCTGAGCTGCATCTTGTCCCTAAGCTGTGTGAGTCCAGAGCTCTGGGCTCTGACCCTGCCTCTCTTGGAGAGAGGACCTGGGGGCTCTGGGAGGCAGGTCCTGCAGCAACCTGAAGCAGCCATGTGTCCACGATAGGGTTCAGGCTGCCTGTCTCTTACTCTCCCTGGCTCATATGGACTGACCATTTAGCCCACTCTTGCCTGAGGCTGGAAGATGCTTTCCAGATGGTCTATATGCTGTTTCCCTTGCAGTCTTTGCTTAAATCACAAGAGCACTGAGATGACTGAAGTCTTGATCTGGTAGCTTGGTCATACTGCTGAGTTAAAGACAGAGTTAAATTTCGCAGAACACAGAGCAGAGAAGAATCTGGGTGGAATGACCAGGGCTGGCAGGAGGGGAAAAGTATTAGATTTTCATTGTATTTTGTAAGAAAATGAATACCTATTTATAGCCTGGTGTTTTCATTTATCATTTACATAATATATGTAGTTCGGTGGCATTAATAAATAACATTTACTGAGTGGCATTTACTATCACTTACTGTCTTGTAGAGCTAACCCTTGGACAACATGGGTTTGAACTGCACAGGTCCACTGATATGTGGGGATTTTTTTTTTCAATAACTATATTGGCAAAATTTTTAGAGATATGTGACAATTTGAAAAATCATTTTCTTTCCTTCTAGCTTTATTGTGAGAATGCAGTATATCATATATATAGCATGTATGTGTTAGCTGTTCCTGTTTTCAGCAGGGCTTCCAGTCAGAAGGAGGCTGTGTGTAGTTAAGTTTTGAGGGAATTACAGTTCTCTGTAGATTTGGACTGCATGGGTGGTCTGTAGCCCACGCTCCTGCACTGTCAGGGTCAACTGTGTACCTTGATACATTTCATCCCATGAACTCAATGAGAGGGCCCACCTTACAGTCGGGAAAACAGGGCTTATTATGGTGAGTGGTATGACCAGGCTTTGCTTCCAGCTAAGTCCTAGGCCTGTCCTCTGTCTTCCTTGCTGGGTTTTACATTTAACACCCACCTCTATTACAGAGAGTCTTTGTGACCCTTCTCTGACCTCTAGAATGTGTGCTTAGGGTCTTCTAGTGTATTTTGATCTTTCGGAGGTCAGAGGCTGCTCCTTTGGCCATGAGGCACCATTCCATGCATTTCCTTAAAAGTACAAGGTGAGATGATGACATGAGTACAGGTTCCTGGGAAAGCAACTTTCCACAGGAATCTCCTCAGAAAACACTCGGGAGCCTTCCCAAATGCTTTCCAATTAGGCATTGCCATGGAAACATCAGTTTTGAAGCCATTCTGATTGTCCTTCCAGGCTTCTCTCTGCTGCACTTGTGGGTATCTCACAGGCCATTGGAAAGCCTAGATAGATTCAGATCCTAACTTTCAAGGTTGAGATTCTCAGTTTCCCATGCATGTGAGACTCTGCAGTGCTTTTAAAACAGCTGGCTGGGCTCCACTCACCCAGTCCCTGATGGAGCAGGTCCAGGAAGGGCCTGAGATGCTGTGCCATCGTGAGGTCTCTGGGATACTGCTTCTGCAGAGGAGGCTGCCCTTGAAGAGCCACTTTCCTAAGGTTTCTGCCAAAATCCCCCATACCTGCCTTCCCAGACCCTACAGTCCTCTTAAAATTACCCTGAAAACTTCTCTGCTTTTACGTTAACAAAATGAGCCAGAGTGCCATGTGGCATTAAGTGAAGTCTATCGTTGGGCCTCCTAAGTTAGGCAGCAGCAGCATTAGGCACGTGGAGCTCACGCCATTGGTGTTTCAGGTGGTGAGGGCTGCTGAGGAGGCCGCATCCACACTAGCCAGCTCCATCCACCCAGAACAGTGCATCAAAGTGCTCTGCCCCATCATCCAGACAGCCGACTACCCCATCAATCTCGCCGCCATCAAGATGCAGACCAAAGTCGTCGAGAGGATCGCCAGGGAGTCCCTGCTGCAGCTCCTTGCCGACATCATCCCAGGCTTGCTGCAGGTAGGCTCTTGCTGGTGGCATGGCCTGGCGCCTGTCTTCACGGGGCTGTGAGGCCTGTAACAGTGGCTGCTTACTGCAAGGTGGTGCAGTGCAGGACTCGGCTCGTTCGCTTTAGCGGGTGGGTGGGAGGAGCCAGGCAGTGACCCATGAGGCAGTGCGGCCTGGACATCTCAGCCTTCTCTCTTTCGTTACCAGTCCATGCTCCCCTGAATAGAGCAGGAAGATTTTCCTGATAGCCCAGAACTGTGGCTCACAGAAGGAACTTCCTGTTCACTACAAATATGTTTTGATCTTTTTTACTGTTGTTCATTCTTTCAGCCAGCCCTTCCTGCGCATCTGTGGGCCCCAGCCCTGGGCAAGGTGGGCCGTGGAATGCAGAATCAGACAATGGCCCTCACTCTTATATACCCAACAAAGGTGTATTAAAACCCTTCTAAGTAGGAGGCATTGAGTTAGTTAGCCTCTGGAACATAAACATTTTCCACTCTTGTGGCACTACTGCAAGGATTGTTCGATCTCCATGAGACAGAATACAGCCGTGCAGACAGTTAAAGATAATGGTGCTATGTGCCGAGTTACTGTGGGTGTACAGGGAGATTTCTGAGATAGAGGTGGAGAGGTGATTTCCAGCTTGGGGTAGTAGAGAGAGTCATTTAGATGGGGAAGGGTAGAGAGAAATCAGCTTCACGTTTAATAAATGCTGCTGTTTGCTGAGCTGGGGAATTGAAATACATACTGTTGAGGACTAGATTATTCCAGGCAGAGGGAAAGACAGAGGCTGAAAAACCCTGAGGGCTGTTTGGAGGACAGCAAGCAGGCCCATTTGGGTGTGGAGTGGGACACATGAGGCTGACAGGCAGACTGAGGCCCAGCTGTAGAAGGATGGTGGGCATCAGGCAATGAGGCTGGGCATTCCCAGCAGTCTTTGGGTGGTTGAGAGGTTCTGTCCACAAGAGTGAGTGACATAGTTCTCATTTCTTTAAAGGCATTTCACACATGAAATTTGCTTTACCACTGGGAGAAAGGGGAAAGAAGCAAGTTATTTTCCTCAATTTCCTGTTCTCATTCCATCTCTCCCAATGTTTTTGGGTGTCACTGCTGTGGCCACTCATCCTGAAGCAGCAGCCGAGGCTCTCACCAGCCTCCTGCTTCTGCACACCAGGAACCACCACACTCATGACACTAGGAAGTTTTGACCTCTCTGGGGTGAAAGCTCCATGAGTTCAGTTGTAGAATTAAGGTGTGTCGTGGTAGTTATTGAAAGTCCAAGGTTGAGCTATGAGGGCAGTTGTGGAAATGATGATATACTGACTGTGAAGCAAATCTTTGATCTCATTTCCTTTTGTGCTTCCTTTCTAACCCGGTAGGGTTATGACAACACTGAAAGTAGTGTGCGTAAGGCCAGCGTGTTTTGTTTAGTGGCAATCTATTCTGTAATTGGAGAAGAGCTGAAACCTCACCTCGCCCAGCTCACAGGAAGCAAGGTATGTATAGTGTTTAGTGTTGCATGGGCTGAGGTGTACACCTGCGCACTGCCAGCTTGTCATAAACACACTTGTCTGCAGCCCTGGACCCCAGACACATTTCTCATAATGTGTGTTTGGGCCTTATTTCTCCAAAAGCATTTTTCTCGAGATGAAACTAACCAACTGTGTAATACAGACACTTTACCTGCGCACTGCCAGCTTGTCATAAACACACTTGTCTGCAGCCCTGGACCCCAGACACATTTCTCATAATGTGTGTTTGGGCCTTATTTCTCCAAAAGCATTTTTCTCGAGATGAAACTAACCAACTGTGTAATACAGACACTTTTAAGTACAGTGTGGTCTGCTGTAACTTCTAGTTTTGAAATGATAGCTTTCAATGATAGGAATATGACTTTGTTTATTTTTTTCTCACAAAAATACTGAGGAAATTTACCTGAAAGCTTAACATATCACTGAATTGGAACTGTGTGCCTTCTGGACATCAGCAGTACTGATAGCCGGCTCTTACCTTTACTTGCCGAGTTACAGACCTTCTTCTCTGCACTTTGTAGGTGTTGACTCCTTTATTCATGATAACATCCCTGTGGGATAAGGACAGTTATCCCTTATTTAACCTGCCCAAGGACAGGTTACTCCAGAATTGAGGCTTTTTACTCACTAAGCTATCTCTCATGTTCCTTTAAGAGTATTTTCCTAGAATCAGGGACAGAAAATGAAACAAAAGGACTATTGGCTCTTTGAAGATGAGAGTAGCTAGAATGGTTATTGGTTTAAAAATGAACTCTAAAACTGATGAGCCTGCTGGGTAAGAGCAGGTAGAAACTCCCAGGCTCTGGCAGGAGAGGCAAAGGTCGAAGGTGGGGGCATGGATTCCCTGGGCCTTGGAAATCTCCAGCTGTGTAGTGAGGCACCTGTTCCAAGAACTGCCTGTTGGAGTGGAGGTACGTCGGCATGGCAGTGATGGGAATGAAAAACTCCTGGAACTGATAAGGATGAAAAAGCAGAAAGCTACAAGTATCTGACCTTGCTCCTTGTGAGAAGCAGAAATCACATAGAGCTGTTCCTTCCGCATAGCTGATGAGGGCCATGGCCAGATCCCTGCTTCCCCAGAGGTCTGGGCAGAGCTGCTTCTGCCTGCCTTCATCCAGTGCAGGGCCCTCAAGCACTGGTGATGCTTCAGGCCACTCTGGGGTGGTTGGGGGAGCCCCTGTGTGTTTTCGGAAGCTTAGCATCCTTGGCTGCTGCCAAGAGTGCAGTAGCACACCCCAGCCCTCCGTTGTGACAGTCACTGAAGTCCATGCATGGCAAGTAATCCCCTGGGGACAGAATCACCCCTGGTTGAGAGCCACTAGTCCGGAAGGACATACTTCACTCTTCTTGCAGACAGAAATCATGTTGCATGATTGATGTGATGAGGCAGGCATTGATAATGATTTGGGGGCTACTTTACCTGATTGTGTTTCCCATCTGATTGCTGCTTTCCTTCTCTGCTCCTATAAAGGCTCCTCACTGATCCCTTCCCTAACCACAGTCTGAAAAATACTGAGCTGAGAGACAACAGTGTGCAAGGCCAGGAACCCTTTTCCCTGCTTCTACCAGGTATCTGCAGGTGGTTCCTGGCAACACTGGGAATAGAAGACAGTATTCACAAAGGGAATTAGATATATAAAATAGGAAATTCATCCAAAATGAGTGCTAGTCAGGCCTTGGTTTGTGTGGCACTTTGTACTTCCTAACTTGGGGCTGTCCCATTGTCTTGCCAATGGGTTTCAGCCCCAGGCAAGTTTGCTATGGATTCAATGTGACCAAAGAAATTGACAGCAAAACGTTCTTTGTGGTGAAAGGGTTTATTACCTGGCTTGTTCTCCGGTGGTAGGTGGAGCACTAACATCTCTGTCTCCACTCAGAGCACTGGGCCAAGCTCTCTATATAGCACAATAATAGCTTATTGCTTAAAAGTGTGGAAGCAGAAGCCTAGCAACAGGCCAGTTACATCGTCAGGTGGTTTAAGTTCAGTGAGGATCCTGGCCATAGGAACCCCAACTTCCCCACAGTCCACCCCTCCAGGATTCTCGCCTTACAGTCTACACACTTTCAATCTTCCGCAATGGTCCCTGTGCGAGAAAGCTGGAGCACTGTAACCAGATTCCATAATAGCAACAGAGGATAACAACAACTTAGAGATAATAACAAAAATTATAATAATCCTCAAGCCAGAGGAAGTTCCCAATCCACAAAGACTTTTGGGGCGATAAGACACATGTTTTAATGCCACCAACTTAGGCTAATGTTGGCCATCTAGGATGCATGCAAGAGAGTGGTCCTGTGATAGGACTGTAGCAGGAAGGGGGTCCCTTCCAGGTCTAGTGTACCATACTTGTACTCCTTTCCTCGGGGGGTGATTACTGAAGGAGGTGCATGCACTGGCCATAATGGTAAAACAAAATTCCCCAATAAGATGCTCCTACCTTCTGGCCATTCAGGATATACTACTGAGACCTTTGGCGGCCACTCTGCTGTTATTCCAGGAATACACAGAAGGCAAGCTTCCAGGCCTTGTTCCCAAGGTGCCAGAAGAGCCAGCCATTGTTGATCCATGTGTTGAAAGGTCCAAGGCCATGTCCATTCAATGGAGTCTCCGGGGTTCAGTGCAGTTGGTGCTGGCAGCAAGATGTTATTCTGGTGGCCAAATCTCAGTTTCAGTGATTCTTCCTTGGTTTGTACTTGCAGTTGTATAGGGGAGGCAGCCATATGTGTTAACATGTCTACAGGGCTCATGGCTCCCTTTCAGGGTCTCTTGTTCAAATGCTGTAGCACGGTCCATAAGCAGACTGACCATCCACCAACTATTGGTATCTGACTTTAGTCCAGATTTTAACAAGCCATTGTGCCTCTCTGTCATATCTGTTGCGGTAGGATTGTATGGCACATGAAACTTCCATTTGATTCCCAGCTGTCACACTCATTCTTGCAGTGTATGTCCAGTAAAATGGGTGCCCTGATCATTCTCAATTACCTGTGGTCATCCATAGGCAGCAAAGAGACGCTCCAGGCCTCTTTTGGTCATCTGCTGGTCTGCGCAACGGGTAGGAAAAGCAACCAGAAGTCCAGTAGCTGTGTCCACACAAGTGATCGCATACGATATCCTTCTGACACAGGTAGAGGCCCAATATAGTCTATCTGCCACCTGAAGAGGGGTATAGGCCCCTTAGCTGTTGTCCCATGTTATTGTGGAACTCAGTGTAAGTCCCTTTTGGAGCACACGACACACTCCTGCCGGGCTCTACTAACCTCTTTGAAGGTCAAAGGGAAGCCCCACCGAAGGTCTACAGCCCACATTGTCTTTTGTCCCGCATGCAACAAACACTGATATAGCCATTGGGCTACATCAGAGGCAGGCTTTCCTTCTAACCAACGTATCTGGGCCAATTTATCTGTGTCAGCATTTCCTGGGGATGCCAGTGGCAAATGACCTGTCACATGATATACTGTAATTATTTTAGTCTGACCTACAGGCCTATAAGTCTTGCCACAATTCTTGCCCCCAAAGGGGTCAGTGACCAACCAGCCAGTTGTCATGGTACCGGGTTGGAAGCCACAGGGTCAAGCCCCAATAGCCAGCCCAGCTGTCAGTGCAGACAACTATAGGGGAGGGCGCCTGGCTGATCACAAGCCACACAGCCCACAACTCTGCCCATTGCCTGCTCTTCCCCTCACCATCTTCCATCCATATTGTCTCAGTCTTAGGATGGAAAGCTATGGCCCTCCATTTTGAGGGCTGTCCACGGCTGGAGCCATGTGTGTACCATTCATCTTCGAGTATAGGGGCTCTTCCCTCTCGATAGGGACTCTCTGCTACTAATGGTTCAAAACCAAGTTCTTCCTGCTTTTCACTAATATATGTCACCGGCCACAACAAGTGTTGGAGTTCTTCACTCAAGGGGCTACTAGAGAGAGCACTATGCTGCTGTAGGTAAGCAACCCACTTGGCTAGTGTGGGTGTTTGTGCCACACCACTCCTTGGCTTTTGGGTCCAATCTCATACCCACCCCAGGATGGGATAGGTGGTTATCACCTTTATTGGGGCCATTCCAGTGAAGGGTTCTGTAGCCAGCAAGGCGTGATATATGGCAGCCAGTTGTTTTTCTTTCAAAGTGTATTGTACCTCTGCCCCTTTCCAGAGTTGTGGCCAGAATCCAACAGGTTGGCAAGTTCATTCAAGCTGCTGCCAGAGACCCCAGCCATAACCATCTTCAGTCACATGAACGTCCAACTCACAGGGCCTTGATGGATCTATCACACTCAAGGCCTGCTTGGCCTTGACTGGCCATTTTGCTGTAGTAAAGGCAGATGCACATGTCTCATCCTAGTCCCACTTGATGCCCTTTCATACCGACCAGTATAAGGGCTTCAGAATTTGTGCCAAGTGCAGGATAAACACTCTCCAGTACCCTAGAAAATCCAGAAACCCCTGTAGCAATGCTACAGCTGTGGGGGTAGGAAAGGCCTGGACTTTGTCTATAACTGCTTCTGGTATCACACTGGTCTTACCTGACCAGACAAACCCCAGTTATTTGACAGACAAACCAGGTCCCTGAACCTTGGTGCTGTTCACAGCCCATCCTTTCTCCTGTAAATGTTGCAGCAGTCTAGGTGCTACACCTTCTAGATCTGAAAGAGAATCCGAAGTGAGCATGACATCATCAATATAATGGTACAGCTCCACCGTTGGTGGTTTCTCCCATGTAGCCAACTCCTGGGCTACAAGTCCATGACAGGTGGTGGGGCTGTGGAGGTATCCCTGTGGGAGGATGGAAAAGTCCATTGCCATCCTTCCCACATGAAGGCAAAGTGTTCCTGACTTTCCTGCTCAATGTCAATGGAAAAGAAGGCATTAGCAAGATATACCACATAATGGTATGTTCCTAGTTCATGGCTGAGGGTGTCCATCAGGCCTGCAATATAGGGGACAGCAGCATGCATAGGAGGGTTTA